CTCCATTTTGACATTAAAGATATTTGCTAGAATGGCTCCAGAACTGCTATTTATCTATTCTTTTTAGGTTTTGATATGTTTTAAGTTTGGCTTAGACTGGGCAGTATTAGACTGTTACTCGAATGTTTGTGGTGCACTATACGATATGGAGACTGTTAACATGTATTTTTATTTATGTTTTGAGTATGACTTCCTCGGCAATCTTGTTCCACTCACCTGATGAAGAAAATCAGGAAATGAAATATTGATGTTGGGTGGGATGTTGGGTAGTGAACTTGGATGGCAAGGTTAGGGATACTTGCAAGAACTGCCCTTGAAGTTTGCTTAATAAAATTATTTTTGGCATAAGCGGAGTAAACCGCAAACCAGTAGGTGGGCCAGCCAGTGGATTTTTCTGGTGATGGATGATTTTTTTGTTTCCAATTATTTCCTGTCCTATCCTCAAAAAACGAGTTTTGTATGGATACAAGCAGTGTCACCCTATGCCCCTAGCTGACATTGAGCATTTATTGTCTTCTCACTTTCTCATTGTATAAATACCGACTCTTTCGGGGCTATACAAGAGGACATTAAAAGAAAAAAAAAAAAAACAACAAAAACAACCTCAATATATATACATAACAGATTTACCCAGAAATACTACCTTCATATAGTTCTTTTATGACATTAGTACATCTTTGTACAGTCCCTCAATAAAAATTCCAAAGAACCACTCTCCTTGCAGATCGGCAGTATCGGCTCTTCGTTTATTTTTCCCTAATATTTACTTTCTTAGTTAGTATAAAAGTGTTCATATTCTATTTCTCCTGATTTATTACCTCAATTACATCGTAAAACACATCGTAACTCCCGAATAAGCTGCCTAATTTGTATCAACAACTATAATCGTTGCCGGTCGACATTCAACAAAATGGCGATAGAGGAAGGACCACCATCAAGGGTTACCTCTAAGCCCCACCCTTATATAAAGTCATCTCCAGTTGATGTTCTTTTAAAAACGCTTCTTCTCTTCCCTCTTTATCAAATGGAGGGCTGCACAACCAACCCTCTTTATCTTGTAATCGGTCGGAAGAAAGGGTGGTTCAACCGACGCATCCGTCGCAAATCAATTTGTTATTCTATCGAAATAAAATCTCCCTAAAACTATCCAAATACTATATTTTTGCTTTCTCACGTCACAAAAAATTAAGATCTATACACTGCGGCCAAAATTCGTATTATCCCACAATCGATAAGAATACAAATTGATTAGCTCACCTTAGACAAGAACGTCGATGGTGTAAAACTCTTCAATCTAGAGTAACTATGACTTCCTTAGTAGTCAGTGGCCTGGGGACAAGTATAGCAAAAATCTATCAAACAATCCACTGCCAGATCTTGTCCTTAGTAAACTCTTGTATAGTTGCACATGCCGATAATTTATTCGTTCTCTCTTTTTTATTTGTAAATTTCTATTTTCAAGTATTAAAATATTTATATTATTTGATAAGAGTTAATTTCTTTACACATAATTATTCTAGGTATTATTGATAAATTTAGAATATACAGTTATTGTCTTTTGATATTGTTTGTGTCTTGTAAAAATATATCCTAGTAATATTTTTTAAATAGTGCAACATGATGCAAAAGAGAAAAAATAAAATTAATCGATAATTAGATAAATATATCTCGATTTATTTGATTATAAATGTCATTGTAGCAGAGATGGGGAAAACATGTTTGAACTTGTGCTCGTTTAACAAACGAATATAAGGCCCTGCTCGAGTTCGACTCGCTGAAGCTCGTGAAAGATCGAATTGACTCGTTCGTTTAATAAACCTAAAACCCTAAACAAGTTGTTCATGAATAACTTAGTTCGAATAATAATTCTATGGTTGATTCATAAATTTTTAGTGATTACTCTACAAAACATTTTTTTTCTTTCTTCTTGTTGAATATCTAATGTTTACTATCATAATTCATATATGTTTAATATTTTTTTTTAAGAAAAACTAGATTGATTTATTGATATTATTTGTTATGCAACGTTCATGAACGTTTCATTCAAACAAAATAGGTATAATTACAAGTATATAAAAGTCTTAGTAAGTTTAAAAAAATCCATAATGAAAGTCTTAAAAAGTCTCAAGTAATATTTCTCTGAAAATCTCAAAATGTCCACCGTCATGAAAGTTTACAAAGTCCATAAAAGTCACCAAATTTAAAAAGTCTTTGAAAATCTCAATTGAACTGGTTTGGTTATATAAGGCAATGATTAGTCCGGGCTCAGTTTGGCTAAACCAAACAATGTTTTATAATACTACATTACTTATTTTGGTGCAATTTGGATTGAGTGACNACGATGAGATTAATAAATAAAATACATATTTACATCTAGATCACAACTAATATAGTCTACTAAGTAGCTACACAGCTGAATATAATGGAAGGTCTATCAAAAAGTAACCTTGAATCAACACAACTAACCCGCCCACAATAACAAATCTAAAAACCTCCTACACGAACACGCTTCTAAAAAAGGAGAATAAAACTACACAAAAACACACAACATACAACAGAACAAATTGCAAGAAAAACACCACCATCTTCACACCAGGAAAAAGTGGTAAAACAGGGTACAAAGACTATCGCCGGCTTCAGCCCCGCAACAAAGTCTCCGACACTTTGTCGATACTCCCTCCAAGATCTCGCCATGGCACACGTGTACAAGAAAGACGTGCAACGCTGAATGAGGGCGCGGAGGACCGTAGGGAGAACTGTAAGAATCTGGGAAAACGAGTGCAATCTTATGCACGTGAGGGTGAGTCTAGGTGGGCCATAGTGAGTTTTCATCTCATCTTAAAACTAATTGGTGATAGGAGTAGTCCACTAGGCTTATAAGTTAGACCTATTTTCCCTGTATAAACGATGTGAGACAACTCACAAGTGATTCTAAGACGCTCACTTGTGAGTCTTTCATACGAAACCCAAGCCCACAAAGCAAGTTGGGTAATCGGTACGTCATCGCAGGTGCGGCGTAGGCCAGCTCTGATACCATGTATGAATCGAGAGAAATTGTTGCGGTCTCATGCACGTGAAGCGCACCATAAGAGGGTAAGCCTAGGTGTGTCATAGTGAGGTTTCATCCTAAAATCAATTAGTGATAAGATGGAGTAGCCCACTGGCTAATAAATTAGACCTATTTTTCTGTATAAAAAAATTTAAGACAACTCACATGTGATATTTTAATACGTTGTCGGCCTTGGCGTCGGGTCACCAAATTAAAGACTCGCATGGTGAAAAAAAAAAATGTGAATCNTTTCTTTTTCAATTAAATCTATATGTGGTGCTTGGAAACAATTTCACTCCATTTTCATTGGGTAAATTATGTTTATATATAAATAATTATGAAAAATAAGTGTTTATCATACATTAACATTATGAAATACCTTTTTATCATTTCTTAAACCATAGACATACTTTGTTAATAATAATAGCTTTACACTAGGAAGTATATTATCTGGAAGAAAGAAGTTTTCTTGTATTGTATCACACGCGGGTCTCTCCACTATTGGTATTCTCTAACATAAAGCAATTACCTACAAACCTAAAAGAACATTGCCATTATGTGATACACCAACCAACCTGGATAATAATAAAACTGCCAACTATCAATTAATCAAACCTATAAAATTCCACAACCAAAGCCAAGAGAAAACAGGACATCAAAACAAACCTCTAACAACATAAACACATAAACAACATGAGGGGCATTGCCGTAATTATTCTCTTTCTAACCTTCTCGTGTCTCGGACCACCCGTCCACAGCAATGAGGGCCGCCAGCTGGCGGAATTCATCAAGGCACGGCGCTTTACAAAAGCTTCAGCTGATGACGTGGCTGAGGATGACATCATGCCCGATGTCTACGTACAACGTCAGGATGGACTGAAAAAGGCGGACAAGATAAAGATGCTGCCAGGTCAGCCGCCAGTCGATTTTGATCATTATTCAGGATATGTTACAGTTAATGCCAAAGCTGGACGAGCCTTGTTTTATTATTTCGCGGAGGCCAAGAACTCGACTGATAAGCCTCTCGTCTTGTGGCTCAATGGAGGTTAGGTTACGTAAAAATGCATTAATTTTACTTGCGGTATTCATAAATAAATAAATATTCGATATCTAGTAATTAGTATATAACAACACGCTGCAGGCCCCGGTTGCTCTTCATTTGGAAATGGAGCAATGACCGAGCTCGGACCTTTTCGCGTGAATCCTAATGGAAAAACATTGTGGTACAACAAATATGCATGGAATAATGGTGACCATTACTAATCTCTAAAACAACCAAATTCTAAATACTTGTTGTGGCAAAATTGCAATTTTAGTTCTGTTGGTTTGATCTCTTGGCGTTTTTAGTCCTAAGAATTGAACATTTTGTTATTTGGTCCTATAATTTTGAGATGAATTTTGATTAGCAATTTAAGTTCTGTAATTTTAAAATTTGTTGCAAGAAAAATACTAAATTACAGGATCAAAAGATAAAAAGTTGAAATCTTGAGATTAAAATGCTATTGCATAAATAACCAGAACTAAAAATGAAATTTTGCGGTGCAATTACTTTTCTGATTTTTTATTTTATATTTTTTGGTTTAACTACAGTTGCAAACATAATCTTCCTTGAATCCCCTGCTGGAGTCGGATTTTCTTACTCAAACAAATCGTCTGATTACATTACTGGAGACAGAAAAACTGCTGCTGATTCTTACATATTCTTGGTTAACTGGCTCGAAAGATTTCCAGAGTACAAAACAAGGGACTTTTACATAACTGGAGAGAGCTATGCAGGCCATTACGTGCCTCAGCTTGCTGACTTAATTCTGAAAAAAAATCAAAACTCATCACAACATACTGCCATCAACTTGAAAGGAATTGCTGTGAGTTAATATATATATATCTTTGCAAATAAAACCTTCAGCTCATACTTCCCTTTGCAAATAGTGCCTGTTTAAGAGTTAACATACCCAAGAATCGTGACATATCCAGATTGGCAATGCCTACACAGACAGCATAGATCAGTTGAAAGGCGAGTACGAACATTTCTGGGCAAGTGCTCTCATATCAGATGAAATTCATAAAGGGATAGTCAAAAACTGCGATTTCTCATCACCATCATCAACTTGTCGCCAGTACATTAGTGAAGCAGACCGTCTGACAGCAGACGTATACATTTACGATATATATGCACCATTGTGCCATCCCTCTTCAAATTCTGATCAAGTATGTATTATATTATTAACATATATAAACTCATTCAAAATTACAACGAATAACCAATAGACAGTACTGCAATAAGACATCTACATTTATTTCTTATAATAACGTATTTTCGATGCAACAGAAATGTGGATTTGATCCATGCTCAGACGAATATGTTGAGGCATACTTAAATACTCCACAAGTGCAAAAGGCACTTCATGTTATTGGTACAGGAACTCCAACACAATGGTCCGGCTGCAGGTAAGTTAACTACTAAACCATGGGTTGGATATATTAATAAAAAGACATTTCTTCTCTGTACAGAATTTTTTTTCCCGAGAATTGCATTATTAACCAACTCATCACATTTTCCTGCCTCGAACTTTAATAATACAATAATTTCTTGTTAATTGAAACATATTATGTATGGCCATACATGCAGCGATTTACAGTGGCAGGATAGTCCAAGCACGGTATTACCTCTGATTAGGAAGTTGATGACTACCGGACTTCGCGTTTGGATCTATAGGTGAGAATTCATATAACAGCAGAATTTGTGATTTTTTCTTTAAAAGTTTTACAATGTAAGTTCATAATAAATAAAATCATATTGTAAAACTGGATTTGCAGTGGAGACACAGATGGTATAGTACCCGTTCAAACAACTAAGTATTCTATGCCCAAACTCGGAGCAAAAATCACTATTCCATGGTATCCATGGCACTACAATGGCGAGGTAACAAAACNAAATTTTTTGTTGGCTTTATTTCGTTCTAATAATACTATATATGATGGAACTAATAATAACCCTTTATATATTATAATTTATGAAAGGTTGGAGGATATGTAGTTGGGTATGAGAATGTGACATTTGTGAGCATAAAAGGAGCTGGACATTTTGTACCAAGTTACAAGCCTCAACAGGCGCTTGCCTTCTTCGCGTCTTTCTTACAAGGAAAGTTACCTGCAAGCCCACGTCAGGGAAAACTTATGGATGCTTAATATTCGAGATTTCTGACTGTTATATATTAGGAATTGGAGGTTGACTTGGAAATTAATGTGTTCATTTCTGTATTTACCTTGAGAAAATAAAATCCTATACATGTACACATGTAGGAATATTATCTGAAATGTATACAAAAATCTATCTCTACAAATCGCTTCCAAGAAAAGAACAAAATAAGTAAGTAATAAGTTTGTAGGTTGTAGCTTTCCCTGACGTGGGCCTGGAGGTAACTTTCCTTGTAAGAAAGCACATTAACTTCCTCATTTATTATATATATATATATATGTTTCACTGAAGTGCACTATACTTGATGAGATTCATGGTGAACATTGTTTGCATACATATATATATATATATAAATAAGTCCAGCAATCTAATTCAAGGAAGGAGTAGAACCAGTCTCTGTTCTCATTCTCATTTCAAGAAAAGTAAAACAAGAAGAAAAAAAATAAAAAAGAAAAATGATCTCATGACGAGATTATTCAAATTTTAGTTAATTGTGTGGGATTGGATGTGATGTCACTGATGTTGGAGACGTGGAAAGGGCCAGATAGCGAACTTCATCTGTCCAGCGCTGCAATGGATGCCATTTTTCTCGGGACAGACAAAGAAATAGGGATAGGGCGTGGGCTGCAGCGTCACTTTGAATCCCTCACCCCCACCTGCTGTCGTGCTCCCAATCAGAGTCGATCCCTCCATGCTACAGTTTAAGTAGCTCGACCAATCTTTCAGCAGACTCAAGCTGTGGTGCGAAGGGTATTTGAACACTGCCCCCAAATTCAAACTTTTATTTATATAAATAGGCAAAGTAGTAATTAATTAATTTCCAGAAAAGAATGCGTGACGTACCCAAAGTGTCACCGACAAAGAAGGGCCAATTTTTGAGAAACCAGCCCGTGTAATTGACCCCATAATTCCAGCCGTCCGACCCACCGACCTCGATTGTTCTTGCATTGGGGTCTGGCTCTTTTCCGGCACAGGGGCACCAAGACTCAGAACCAAAACCACTGCCGCCGCCCCACGGCCAAATGTTGCTACCCATCCCAATCGCCACAACCGAAGATCCCAAAAAAAGAACAAAAAAGTTCAAATTCAAACCCATTTTTTTTTTTTTGGNCCACCCATACATAATAGGAGTACTCTTAAAGTAAGACCTTTAGAGCCTATAGTATAGCTTAGTAGCGGCGAACTTCTTTGAAATGAAAAACGATGTGCCTGCGACCTTTTGTTTCCAAGCTAGCTACAGAGAGTACTCAAAATCTTGCTCATACGCCTCGCAAGATTAAACATCTGCGAAAGTCGTCTCGAAGCTCTGACTCTCGAGACGATAAGAGCGCAATATTGATTTAGGAGGGTAAAAAATCCTATCAGTCCATACTTTATTTATTTATTTTTTTCTTATTGTTGGATCACAAGACTCTCATACATGCATACACATTTGTATATTTGTTGATTTTACAGTTAAAAAAAACAATTAAAGCTGGACTATGACAACAATTGACTATACACGCGATAAAAAAAATCGCACTGAATTACAAAAAATAATAACAATAATAATAAAATATATAGAAATTGAAGCTAACAAAAAAGATTGAACCGCACACTACAATTTAGAAAAAGAATTAACCGATATTTATTAGTACTAAAATAATCAAATCAAATCGTACCGATATTATTTTTTACTATAATAATAATAATAATAACAATAAATGCTTGTTTTTTCTTTTAATATTATTTTTCCCATTCTGAACAATTTTTTAGTATTAAAAGGAGAAATTAGCTGTCTGAGAATTGAGATATGCAGCTTCCAAATAGAATCACAAAATAGTTAAAAAAATAAAATAAAACTCTTAAAGACGACGCAAAGGTTATAAAGAAACGGAGGAAATTGGAATATACTCGTTAAATTTCGTTTCCACTAAACGTTAAAAACACTTTCTTTTCTGTTCTAGACTAGTGCTAGCAAACTCGCGTGAAAGCTAGCCCAACCTAGAATAGTAATAACTACCTATACTTTATTAATATAAATCTATGGTGTAATTATGTTAAAGCTTTTTTCATTATAAAGAAATTGACTATTTATTCCCAAAATCAATAGAATGTCAAACATTTGGATTCCAAATACCTTGAATAAACCAAGATATTATCTAAACCGAATAAACCACACCTTAAAAGATGCTTTTTTTCGAACAAGACAACATAAACTTACACGAAAAAGTATGACGGCAGTTTTGAAGCCTCCATATTTATATTTATGATGATGATCTTGTATAATAGGCGTGCTGTAGACATGTAGTTGCTTGAAAATTTTGTAAGATTAATTTTAATGAGGATTTAAAAATACTTTCATATATATATATATGAGAATTTATAAATAGAAACCACAAGCATCAACTATGCAATATGCAAACGGGAGATTAAACCAAATTTCTATTAGTAAATGAATATTTTTTGTAAGAAATAATAATTTAACTACAATTTTAAATTGTCATAGAGCACATATTGCCAAAAAAAAAAAAAAAAAAAAAACTTTGTTTGCCTTGAAGAAATTTGATGTATCACTCGAATAACTCGGCAGACCGACTTGAACAGGTAGCTCGGCTAGGTCGTCTAAGAGAACTCTAGTATGATCGGGAATAAGCTATCGAGTCAAGGAGCTTGGACTCAAGCTCAAGATACTGATCAACCTAAAGTTGCCGACCTCCAGGAGCTCGACAATAAAGCCGACCTCGAGGTATTAAGGTCGTACGACCAGAGGACAGGTTACACCTCAGACCTCAGAATGAAGTCAGGTCCGACCTCGGGTAAGTCATAAAAGGTAGGTCAGGAGGTCGAGGTTACGGCCTAAGGATCTAAGGGTTGCATAGTAAGGGGGAAAGAATCCTAGTAAGAAGGAAAAAATCACTTGCTTAAGGACACTTGCCTAAAAAGAGACGTGGTAAGTTAGGAAGTGTGATCTAGTTTGATCTCTTTTCTAACATGGACTCTCTTGGGCACCAAGACAGCTACCCTATTTAAGGGTTTCAGGTTCTTCCTCATAACACATTGCATTCTACGCATTAAATTATATATTCTCGCATATAGTTGTTTGAACGAGTTCTGACTTGAGCATCAGAGGTATTTCCACTGAGACCCCCTCTCGGCGTACTGTAGGTCACCGAAGCTCAAAGACGAAAGAAGTTCAAGGCGTAGGCGGTTTACCCTAGTTCGTAACAAAACAAATGCTATAAATTGGCGTCGTCTGTAGGAAGAGTCATTTTTTTTTTCACAAGCTTCACAAAGTCATAATCATGCCGAGTGATAAACTCAAGAAGAACCTCGAGAAAGAGTTGGAGGTCGTGTGGCCAAAGACGTCATTTGGATCCGGCCTTTCCCCGGGTTGGCCACAATCCTCCAACAAACTCATCACGCCCCAAGAGACGTGGTCTGCCCATGGGTTAGCTCTAACTCCATCATCGAATAAACCAGAAGGATCCGCGGGTGGAAAAGAGACACATGTGGACCAACAAGAAAAAAAGAGGACCAGTGAATAGTGGTCTGCGAGTGATGGAGGACGAACATCATCAAGATGAGGTGTTAACGAACAGACCTGTGGAGCAGGTCGAGGAACAACGACTTGTTGTTGGCACGCAAGAGGACCCTCGAAATGAGGTCTTTAAGCTCACCTGAGAAAAATTAAGCAGGATCATGCAAAGGCAGTGGCTTGAGCTCAGGAGCACAGACAATCAGACCCTGTTATGTTGCATCCACAACCTTATAGAATGAAGATAGAGAGGTCCGAGCTGGGCACCAGCATCCATAATAGGGCCGCCGCAAGACACCGCACTAGAAAGGTTAGCAGCTCAGGTTAAGGAATTACAAGCTAAGGTCCTAGGAAGAGTGGTCCCTCGCAGTCACGATCAATCCATTTCATACAAAATCCTATAAGCAGACCAACCTAACAAATTCCATGAGTTAAGCTTGTTTTATGATGGCTCAACCGATCCTTCCCGACATCTTAGGTGGTATGAAAACGTCGTAGTACTCCACAATTACAGTGATGCCGTTTGATGCAGAGCTTTCCTCACTACCTTGAAAGGGTCCGCACAGGACTTGTTTCACCAAATGTCAACTGGTTCAATTTACTCGTTCCTCCTGCTCAGATCACAGTTCATTAATCAGTTCTCAAGTGTGAAGAAGCATGAAAAGACCTATCTGGAATTGACAAGTATGCAACAGAAAAAAGTAGAGTCCTTCCGAGATTGTGTGTGTGTGTGTGAGAGAGAGAGAGAGAGGTAGGTGAGGTGGCAGGTGGATCCCACATGCTAGTGGTTGTGTGGTGGCTTGAGTCCCACTGTTTGCGTGCAGAAAATTACCACATTACCCTTAATGAAGATATACTTTTAGCCTTTTTTCAGCCATTAGATCATCCGATCTAATGACTATGATTTATTTTTATTTTTTTCACTGAACACTAGTTTCACCCGAGCGTGACTCTATATATATATATATATATATATATGTGTGTGTGTGTGTGCGCGCG